TTGCTGGCTTCATTTTTTTTTTTTTTTTTTTTTTTTTTAATAGCTATAAAACTTTTTGGAATTGTATAAAGATCTTGCATCTCTGTTTCTATTATACACATTTTACCATATAAATCCTATAATTATGTTTATGATTGACGTTATGTACTAATGTTTTTCTGCATAATATTACTGTAATCTCCTTTCTTCTTTTTCCTTTTTTTATTCCTTTTTATTTCATGCCTTGGTTGATTAAAGCACTGGATGCTGTTTTGAATTCTCAGTCTGATCAAGGTAATCCTTATTGAAATATAAGAATACATACAATATCTGGTATGCAATGGAGTCATATTGAAAGCCGATGAGAACACAACTATTTGAATATTCTGGTCTCGAATATAAAATTCTACTCATTAGCAACAATTTCAATACTCCATGTTCATCTCAATAAAATGTATTTCTACCATTAGAACTGTACAATCAATACCAATACCATTAACGACATACCATTCAAGCCCTCTATACAATGTATTCTTTACCGCAGCCTCTGACAATTGAGCACAGGTAACGTATCGTTAATGGAAATCATTGCACAATGTATCTAAGACAATCTATCTTCTTCTCAATTCTTGACTGTACATTGTAAACAACATTTATTTGAATATTTCCGATTCTTTTCATTATTTCAAATGACTGACCACTACAGTAATTCCTCCAATATCTGCAAATAGCTTTGGATACTTTGTTTAATCAGCATCTAACCTGCGAATAAAGATTTACGGACTGAAACAAATACGCAATGGGTGTATTTTTTAGATTGAGCAGAAAGCTAGACATATCAAGTTTGGTTTCGCTGTTAACAAGTAACAACTACCACAGGGCAGTTCTATTATCACCCTTGATGCTATCTGTGTCCTTTCCTATTTCATTTTGCTATTTCCTTTCCTTATTTCTCTCTCTCGGAGTATTGGTCCTTTGCTGACGGAGTTACCTCTTTTCATTGCCCACTTATATCTACTATTATATATTACAATAATATTACACATAATACTATCCATGTATATTAAAATATTTAACAGCCAGCCAAATAGCAGGCTATGATCTTCCAATAGAAAAAGAACCAAGAGACGGCATGAGTCTTTGACATATTTCAAATTCACAAGAATCCAGGCGTTTATGATCATAGTATTAGTCTTACAGATTGGCGAATTCACAGCACAAGCCCAAAAGTTGAGCCTAAAAGAGAAAGAGAGAGAGAGAGAGAGAGAGAGAGAGAGAACGCACTGGATGAACAAAAGTTTCACCAAGTGTACTGCGATCCAGCCACTATATGGATTTCCTTTACCTAACGTGGCTTGGTTAGCCCATGGTTCAGGATTTTGATTGATTATTAGAGGATGCTGCAACAACAGTAGCTCTTCTTCTCTTTCTCAGGGCTGACGTTCATCTCGCGTACAATCTCCGCAAACACGTCATTCACATTTGTGCGGTGTTTCGCGGATGCCTCGACGAATGGACATCCCCAGAGTTGCGCCAGAGCGTTGCCCTCGGCGGTATCCACTTCGCGTTGATGCTCGAGATCGAGCTTGTTGGCGACCAGTAATACGGGCACCCTCTCGGTACCTTTGACGCGTGTTATCAATTCCTTCATCGCTTTGATATCCTGGAAAGTCTGATGATTCGTCAGACTGTAAACTACGACGAATCCCTGGCCGTTCTTTATGTATAGATCGCGCATACTCGCGAATTGTTCGGTGCCGGCGGTGTCGAGGATCTCGAGTACACACGGCGAGTTGTCCACTTCGATCTCCTTCCGATAAAAGTCTTCGATCGTCGGATCGTACTTCTCCATGAAACATCCCGAAACAAATTGCACAGTAAGTGCACTCTTGCCTACCCCGCCCGAGCCGAGGACGACTACCTTGAACTCGCGCATCTCTTTGGCAGTTCGCCTCCGTCTCCACCGTCTCCTCCTCCTCCTCCTCCTCAACGTGTCCAGGACCGAGAGGAAGGTTCTTTCTCTCTCTCGAGTACCTAGCTGATTATCGTTGCACGTTTGTTCTTTCTCGAACACCACGAAAATTGACTGCCGCTTATATTAACTCCGTCTCCTTCGTATCGTATTCGTTGAAACGATCGCGTTAGAGCTAGAACGATACTTATCGCCGAACAAAGGCATTGATGATGTTACTGAACGGTGAATCGTGCACAAGGTTTTACCGTGATTGTAACGTAGCCGTTCTTAAAGTTCGAAGAAGACATGACAGCACCCGTATTCACACTCTCTGTCACACCGCAGTCCCCTGGCGACGTTCGCCTGGCCTGCCTCCTTCCTGTCTTTCCTCTGCCCCTCACTTCTTCCCCAGATCTGACGTGCGTGACGCCATCTTATCACACTTAGATTTTCTTTTCGTACCTCCTGCGCCGAACATCGGGGCACTGTCCCTATCCGCTTCAACCTACGACTAGTTTACGTCCACTCGATATATATCTTTCCGAAACTTATCTCACACGGACTGAAAAATCCTGTTTTAAGCCAAGTTTCCAAATTTTCCGGCATTTCTCCGTTGCGACTCGGTCGCAAATGCTCCGCGATTGGTGAACACGAGCCGAGTGTTGGAAAAGCCGTGGCGAATCAGAGCGCTGGACATGGTAACTGATGGTCGCTCTTTCTTTGTGTACAATCGTACACAAGAAGGAAAATAGTAAGAGAGGAATCACGGAAACTCCCTTTACCGGATGCAAGTGTCATTCTCTTATCTTCCAGACAGCGCTATCCACGATCTCTCAAAAACTACGAACTCCCAAGCACAGTGAGTTTTATTAATATTAAACATGAGTTTTATTAATATTAATATCAAACATTCCGTGAAATTCTGTTCGAATCAAAATTATCCTTATTCTTTTTTCCTTTTTCTTTGTTCCTTTTCAGTTTTGTTTTCTAACAAATATTGTGACAACGAAATTGTTTTTTTTCCACAAGGTAAGGTAAGAGTACTATTAATAACAATAAATTCCAGATACGTTCGTGAATAATCATTGTTTACATTAGCTTAAGTTTGATCGTTTGTTAAAGCTCATCCTTGATTTATGTTGGATGTAATGGTTAAATAAAGACACCGTGATACCGAGTTCGTTGAATGATTCACGGAATACGAATCATTCTTTGTTGATAATATTTGCAATGTTAATTGCTATTTTCGCAGTCAGTCGATCGTACTACGTCATTGAGCAACGTAAAACGCAATTTTTTCATTCGTCTGTACAAAGTCTTTCCGCTTACATGAAAACGCTGCGTAAACACACGAATTTTCAAAATAGATCGATAGAAATAAAACCTGGTAGAGAGATATACGTAACAGGAAAATTCAGAGTTTTACTGAGCTCGTTTCTTCACATGTTTTTATCGAGTACTTCCATTTCTTTTGCATAGTGTTCGAAAAAAAGAAAAGAGAGAGATAGGGAGAGGGGGGAGAGAGGGAGAGATACAAGAAGACGAGAAGCTACATGTAAGTTCACGTTTTATTTTCTATCGTTAAAGGGCTTTTCTCAAAAACGAAGCGCGTGTTGCTACCATATCTTGCGGTTTACAGAAGCCTGCTATTTCTTTTGAATTGGTGTATATCCCCGTGTAGATATACGTCATTCCAACAGCACTGACGACTTTGTGGTATGCGAACGCAGGCACATGTGACACGATGACATCATCCGATGAAAGTGTACATAACTGAACAATGCATCACTTTACGTAGTATTTGGTGACGAATGGTGATAATTAGTCATTAAAAGCCAGTTTTCATTGATCTTTCGGGAAATCTTCTTCGTACGTAGAAGAATTTTATTTCATTTTCTTTATTAGAAATTCTAACCAACGAAAATATGATAATTTGAGGAATAACTCTATTAAAATTGAAATGTAAGAATGTGAAATGGATAATAAGTAGATTTTGTTTAAAAGAAAATGATAAAATTTACACTACAAATATGTTGTGAACGTAAGCTAGGATTGATAATGTTTCTAATTATTGGGATCGTTTTTAATTATACGAGTAAAAAGACCACCAAATCAGCTACCATTGTATGGAACATGTGCACAGAACAATGCGTATGCTTCTTGAAATGCACGTGCACTTATAGCTACGCTTATCGATGATTTCCAGTGTTATTAATTGGAGCATCACCGAAACTTGGTTTGCTCCATTCGTGTAATACTAATTCGTATAATTTGTCGATTCCTTGTCGTTCGTTCACCGTGAAAAGCGCAATCAGTGCGTGTTACGAGCGCGAGGCATTGAAAAAAAATCGTACGAACGAAAAGTTATCGAGGTTGTTCGCAACAAACAAGGAAACCGTCGATTAGGTTTCATGATACCTAATTCAAAGTTGTTTAAGAGTGGCACATACAATGATATCGAAACTAGTTTAAAGTGTCATTTTTTTTTTCAATTTGCAATAAATTGTTTTATCTATATATTTTGCTGCATGTTCATTTTTCCGATTTTTCTCCTTCTTTTTTTCCCCCTGTTTTAATTACATCGCGTTCGTATCGAGATGTAATTTGAAGAAGAATTTGTAAGAATTTTATTTATCTTACGTTAGATATATTATGTCGGTAAATATCTAATTTAAATAGATTGAATCAAAGTAGGAATACAGAATGATTAAAAAAATGTACAGCATGATTTTTACGTTACAAAATTACAAAATATCATTTTGAAAATTGTCAGAGGCAATAGCAGAATTCTCTTTTGAAATTTTACGATTTATTGGAATATTTTTTCAGGGGATATTCTCAGAGAAGCAGGGGATATTCTCAACAGCATCCTGTGAATTTGATAAAAGGCCAAAAAAAAAGTGTTACTGCTATCTCTAATAATTCTTAAGATAATTTGTAACATTTTTTATCAATCACTCAATATATTGAAACAATAAAAACGTGATAAGTAGTATCTAATTAACCTATGCACAAAAATAATGAAAAGATAGAAACAGATGCCAATATCATGCAATGTGTATGTTATACACATGTTATTAATTCAATTTGTAATCTTATAGTTTATACTATGATTGGTATCCGACAATAATATTTATGCAATTTATCGATCACAGACATATCGAGAGACAAAGGATTGTTATTAATATAAAAATGGAAATTTATCGGCTATAGTTCATATAGTTCATATCTTCTTGTAAGTTACAATGACCTTTTAGGAGGGGACAATGACCTAACAATTTCAATAACATAAACAGTATTGTACGATTAACGTTTCGTCACCATACGATTTTTTCCCTAACTAATTTCCAGTGCAATTGCTCCGTTGATAAAAAAGGTCGTTATGCGAACAGCGTTACCGATTGAAATACAAACATAACCTAGATATCGAAACAAAAAGTAAACAAATTAAAGAGAAATGCTTTGATTGTTGATTTTTTTACACAAAGATATATCACTTGTACAGTACAACAGTAAGTTTTTCATAATATGTATACATACAAGCGTACATTTTTACATGCATGTAATAAAATTACTTGCACACTAGGAATGCTACATACGTCACTCAAGTTTGAATTAATTGTAATGCGTATGTATGTATGTGATTTCGTATATGTACTTTTGTAGTTTCTTCCGTTAAAATGAAATTTTAAGAAGTAAGAATTAACTTTCATAGTACTTTTTTAAATTATCTTTTAACTAGCCTTTTTTAAATTATCCTTACTAATTGCCTTTTTTTCTAACTTTAGGAAAGACAGAAGTTTAAGAATGTTTATTTGAAAGGAAAGAGACAGAGAGAGAGAGAGAGAGAAATAGGAAGAAAAAGAAAAAATGAATTCGACCCCTTACTCTGCACCGCATCCGCCACCATCATCTGGTGCATTCCCAATGCCTCAACCTGGAGTACCGCAACCTGGAATGCCACAACCTGGAACGTCATCATATGAAATACCAGTACCACAATCTGGTGTGCCACAAGGTAAAGTCTATTTAGAATTTGTTTTGTCTCTTATTTATTGTCTGTTTTTCTATTAATACATATTTAATTATATCTCTATATGTTTCTGTTACTAATAAAAATTTCGATTGTTCAAAGATTCAATTGTACAAGTACAAGACAAACAGGTATAAAATTCTCGTTTCTTAGATCTGTTAGATACGTGGATCTCTTATCAGATTTTGTTAAAATTATTTCTGAAACATTCGATAAGAGACTTAACGCATTTATGCTTTTATTAACAGATTAATAGAACATTAAATAGACTAATAAATTAATAGTAAATAGATTAATAGAGCATTAATTCAAATATGTTTCAAATCGTCAAGAAGAATTGAAAAGAAGTAAAATGACAGAAGAAGGTCGTTAAATTTTTAATTAAAGGATCATAATTGAATTACAATTATTATCAAACGAGAGAAATAAATCTGATCTTCAAGTCTACAAACTGCGTGATAATTGAAACTGTAAAATATATAGTACTCTAAAATGTGATCTCCCTGATACTCCTCTGGCTGTTCAAATATTTCCAAAACTTCTCCGTTGTGTTCAGGTAATAATTCGACTTTGAATTTATCGCTCTGTAATACTGTTCGAATACGAGAGCAACAGAGAAGAGAGATCCCTAAACGAAGTACGATACGGTCGCTGTTTGCCAAGTGACGATCAGTAAGTAGATAATAGTCGTCTTCGTTGATGGAAGCGTCACGTATGCAGGATGAAGTGACATCCAGTTTCGTGTTCCGGGCGTTCATTTTTCTCTCTTATCAATCAGCAAACACTATCCGTGTGTTTTTTTTCAATCGATTCCTAAATCTTTTTTAATTCCTGCATTAAGAAGTTACGCGAATCAATTGAATACATAGCTAATCTATAGATCACACGTGTCGCCATTTTATATGAACTGATATCGTTCATGATCGACGGAAAATCGTATCGTGTAAATACCGGCGCTCCTATCATGCCAGTTATTTTTTATTTCCACGAATAGTAAGACAGCTGCGTGTTAAATATAGATTAATTAACTAATTTGTATGAACATTAGAAGTGTTGTTAATAATAAGTGTCGAATGAAAATTGAAATTCTCGTTAGTGAAATATTATTGTGATCATGTTGTAATAAGGTAGTTGATGTTGTTCGAAGTTGGTTTACGGGTTGATTGATCATGAACGAATGTAAAAGTTTGTAATTAGGCTCAACGGTGTTACTGTACGAGAAACTTTAGAACCGTTGTATCTCTGATATGAAAACTCCGTTAAATCA